AGAAATTCCAAAGGGATCCAAGGGGTTTGAATATTCAATACTAAGTGAGCCAAATATGTCTATAAGAATTTCCCAATACTTCTTAAAATATAATAACTCTATGTGGACACCAAAGTACATGCATATTTCAGAGTTACCAGATCTGGACTGCAACAGCACAGGTGACCATAAAGTGACAGTAAAGGATTGGAGCTTCCTGTATTTCTTTGCTGCTAATTAGTGGCCATCCAGCTTTTTGCAGGCCAAAACTGGTAACCCTAGCATGTGTCTTAACTGAGATGGTTATATTTTTAAGGGTATTGTTTAAGGCAGGGGTCTCCAACGGCTTTGGGCCAGTGAGCACATATTTGAAATTTGAAAAAATATGAGTGCTCTCACAATATAGTTATTGTGGGAGAGAGAAGAAAGCCTGTTCAAAGGGCAAACTGGTGAGGATGTTGCCTCTGAAGTTTTCAGCCACAAGGACCCTCCCCACTCCCCATCATTATTCTGTTTTTTTCAAAACAAAGTACTGGAGTGACCCACCATTTTACATTTTTTAAGAATGCCTACAAAGCATTGTAGGGAAGAGAGATGATGCCAGCAATATGCAGGCTTCTCATTTTTAAAGTTAAAAGAATGTAAAATTAATAAAGTTAGGTATGATAGGAAAGTTGGCAGGCACTAAGACATTGGGAATCTTATACCAAAAATACTAATGAAGGAAAGTGTGTTTTATCTCTGATATTCTATTACATAACATTAAAAAAATTATGTGTAACAGAAACAATTCTAGTATAATAGGCATGATGCATCTGAGTACATCTGTTCTTTGGATCTAAATTGCACATGACACAAATGAGGATGTCCACTGTGCGTTTTCACTGCCTTCAAAATATAGTTGTACTTATCTATGAAGCTTAGATGCTCAAGTTCAGGGCAAGATGAAAGGAAAAGAACACAGAGGCTGGTTGTAGACACCCATGTCATTCACAGTTGAAGATTGGGACATAATACTTGTACTTGAAAGAAATACAATGCTAGCATTGTACATATATCGGTACACAATACATTAAATAGGGCAGTCATTAAATGGTTATCCCAGCAAATAACTCAAACTTAACATACTTAGCGCTATGACATTCTCATCATCTTGCAATGTGATAAATACTCTGAAGTTCCAAGTCATAAATATTATAAAAATGATAAAAGTACAGACCCTTCTTAAATTTTGTTTGTTGGAAGTGTATTCCAGATGTTGATGATAGGT